TGGCTATCGCCTTCCGATACTATTCATACGGCTTTTAATTAAATCGGATGGTTCGATTTTATGATCAAGTTTGAAAATTAATTGAGGTCAAAGGAAAGATGTATGACAGAAAACATCCCTCTAAAGATCATACCGCTCTGAATCTACACTCTACTATTTCAATGTGTTGACAATTTTAAAAAATTACAATTAATATATTTTGCTCCACTTCGCTCATCTGCAACATGAAAAGTCGTCCTTCTTGACGACACGAGATCTTTTGGTTCAAACCACCGAGCTATCCTTGTTTTCTCTTAATTTGCAATAGCTGGAATAACAAATCAACAACCAAAGAAAAATTATATGTGTGTATGTGCTTTGGTAAATTTGATATTCCATTGTCTAATTTGCAATAATTGGAGTAACAAATCTGCTTCAACTATCAAACATCCTAGAGAGAATATTTTCAGGTCTATTTTAAAACTGGGGAAAATAGAAAAATAGGTAACAGAAGTGACAACTTGAAAACAAAACAACTGATATTCCCTTGTCTGTTGTTCAAGTTTAAAAACTTAGAGACTTAGGGAGAACTTTCCTGTCGCACTCACTAGAAAATAAATATGTCGTTTGAACAAGACTTTGATGCCATAGTATATAATAAGAACATGGTTTCTACAGTTGTATTATTAAGCGAGATTACTTGAAGTCTGTAAGGTGATGAACGTGTATCGGTCATCATCCTAGTCCGCCTACCCTCCCTCGCTGTCAGACTCATCATGAAATTTCGTCATTTTCAGCTGTGGGTTAGAAACCAGGCATGGAAACAATGTAAGCATAAAGTTAAAAATCAAAAATTGGCTAAGCTTAACCATGACAGAAAACAGACAACCAACTCCACATAATATGACAACCCTCACATTAACACAAAATTGCGGCTCTATAATATTTATGTATATTGACAGATTAAAATTTATTCCTCTTATTAATAAATAGAAGCAATGTATACAATATACTATTAACGAATTGATAAACAAAGATCATAAATAACAAACAAACCAAAACGACACCTCAGAAACGTACATAAATCTTATAAACGTAAAAACTATCTAATCTAACTTCTGTACGAAAACCTATACATCTCTGGCAGAAAAATAAAATATGACTGAGAATTCAAGATTATTTAGGAGACAGTGAAGAAAAGTCCAACCCTACACCGCGACACATTTAAAATTGCTATTTCTCGTTAAACTTAAGACTTAATCGTGGAATCATAACTTAATCTTGGGTAAGTAGAACTAAACCGGACAAAAAACACTTTTTTAGCTACTCATTGCCCAAACTAAAATAGATTGTAGATACAAATCACTGTACAAATAGCGGACTTCGGTTAAATCAGCACCTTGTTTGACTTTTTCCGGGGTCTACTTAAGGACTTCATCTCATGCCGGCCACGTTTTTCCTCTTTGTGTCAGGCGGTTTCATTTATTCTTATTACGTCCCAGTAAGGTTTGTCTGTAATACGCGAAGGGAAATTGGGCCGTTCAACACAAGAGCTTGGGGTATTGAACATTCGGAAAAGATGATTGTCAAACTGAGGGAAAACTTCAGGTGGCCAATTTTAGTTCCGCGTTCAACACATTGAAGGAATAGTACAAAAGATCAAGTAGCGAATCAGCTAAAAAAAATATATTATTTTGAATTTTTCAATTTTAGTTTTAGTTCATAGAAAAAGCATTGGCCTAACCGGACGCATCCCACTTCTCGAGGCATTGAAATCTCAGTACAGACCACAATCAATAAAAACTTTAAAAAAATATAAAATAAAATAACATAAATTTCTGTATATTACATCACCATCTGCAATATAAAATTACAACATGTAATTTGTGTAACATCAAGCCATCATGACAACAGACTGATCCAACACAAAAATGTAATTTTTTTTTAATCAAAATTCGTATTTAAGGTTTTTAAAAGGTGCTGAAAACTGAACCGATTTTTTTAAACAATTTTTTGGGCCCACTTTACTCGAAGACTTGATTTTTTTTCAACTTTTAATACACAGTTTTGTTCCATCAAATCAATTCTTTTTAACTTCAAATTAGTTTTTTAAACTACGTATTTAACGTTTTTAATTTCAATTTAAACCTTTTCTAACTGCAAATTAACGTTTAACGGAGGCGTCGGTGGCCGCAACGGTTTAGGCGTTGAAACAGCGCTCATCACTGTAAGGTGAAGGTCCCGGGTTCGATGCAGGGCCGCTGGATTCGAACCCGACATACTTACAAATGGGCTTTTTTTTCAAAAACACTGGCACCCTGAGGGTTTATATGACCTCTGCTGTTGCGAACTCTCGTAAAAAAATTAACGTTCTTTTATTTCAAATTAAACTTTTTTTACTTCAAATTAATAAGTTTCACTTCAAATTATCATTTTTTCATTTCAAATTAAACGTGTTTTTTCAAATTAACTCTTCCGTTATAGAATTTTAAAAAATTAGGAGATGGTATGAAATAAAAGCATGTAAATTAAAATTAGTGTATACTCGAGATTTTTTACAATGGTTAGGGTCGAAAACCGGATTGCTGAAAAACAGTTTGTGAGTAGTACTACCTTTTCAAAAAGTGAAAAAAAAGTTAATTTGATAATTAAGAAAAAGTGAGTTTAAAGTGTAATGAAAGTTAATTTCGAATAAAAAAAGGTTTGTTTGAAGGTTAAAAGGTTTAATTTGAAATTAACAAAAGGTGAATTTCAACTTTTAAAAAAGGTTAATTTGCAGTTAAAAAAGGTTGATTTGAAGTTTAAAAAGTTTGGTTTGATGTTTAGAAGTTAAAAAAGGTTTAATTTGTCGGAAAAAAGCTACATCCACCCTCGTTTAACATAATCTTTCATGTTAGTTTTTTATTCTACGTAAAAATACAAATCCACTAATGTAGATATATTAACTTTTAAGTACGAGCTCGACAAAGACCTAAATTACAATTTTCATTAAAATCGGTGATCCCAAATCAGTAAGTGCTTCTGTAAACTGTCAGCCTTTTCTTTGGACAAGTTTTTCCTTTTGACTGCTGTCCGGAAAGGTCTTCCTTGGTCCCTTTCGTTTTGCTCTCGTTTAAGAGAATAAACTATATTTTAATTGAGGGTTCGATTATTTTGTCTATTTTCAAAGATATGCCGATCCGTCCCACCTTGCGGAGGATTAAATAATCAAAATTCATCAAGGTAAAACAGGTTAAAATAGAATGACATAGCTAATAAGAATTTCTTCGCCTTTATTTATCGGAAGATCGAATTTTCATTTTATGAAGGGTAGATTGATGAAATATGTAGGAAATCGCTTGTGTGTTCAGGTATGGTCTTGAATGACAATGGAAGCTGGGTGAATAAAATCGCTGGTTTTTTGTTGCTCCTGTGCGTCGCGAATCGGACCGGAAATGTTGTAAAAGGATATTCAGCGGTGTTGAAAGAAAATTAGTATTCGATAATAAGCGCGTGTTTAATCTGAGCTCACGGTCGTAGCGGAGAGTGTGCGATCCATCGCCACCGGGGAATTAGCCGTCGTGACCCGGGGCTGGAACGGAATAATAGGAAGTCGACCGTGTCGGGGTTTCCGCAGTGGATAAAAAAACGGGCACGCGTACGGGCTGGGGTAAAAAAACTTACAAAAAAGTAATGACAAAAAAACCGAAAAAAGTGTGCGAGTGTAGGGTGGTCATAAGTAGTAGTAGGCAAGTGGGGTGGGGTAGTAGTTTGTGAGGGAGTGGGGTAAAACGGGGGTTTCTGACCCAAAAACTAGGGTGTTATACTTGGGAGTGGGGAGGGTAAGCTTTTGGGAACTTGCGGTCTCCTTCAGACATGAACCGGCTTTCCTTCGCGTAACATCCCAGATGGCACTCTCACTTCTTCACGACAGCAAGGGTAAGTCGACTCGGCCAGCCAACCCTTCCTACCTACAACTCACCCCCTTCACCCGACCGTCCGTCACTTTACCACCCCGAGTCTACACTTCCTTCTTCCTCTTCCGCGTTCTTTCGCGCTTTTCCATTTTTGACTATTTTCTTACCCAATTGCTCCTCGATTTTAATATTTTTAATTTAACAAAATCTTGAAAAACTATAGTTAGTTCAAGTTTTATATATTTACTATCTAATCACTTGAGTAACAATATTAAAAATTAACTGAACACTTATATTTTGTAATTTATTATTTGAATTTATTAAACAAAATTGTGTTTCTATTTTCCAAACAGGAACCTTATTGGAATATGTGCCATAAGTGAAGTGATAAACAGTTCTGTGATTTAATAAAATTTTCGTGAAACGTCGCTGAAGAAGTGGAAGATTCATTTTTGAAAGTTCTGCGAACCGAGTGGATTTTTTTCCATAGGCTTGTACGATTTATTTAAAAATATATTGGTCTTATAATAAAACCAGAAGAAATAAGTAGTCACTTTAAATCAAAAGTTTTAAAAAAAAAATTACATGACCATTAAAAACAATTTCAAAACATGCGATTAATTCAATGCTGGCCGTATGTTCTGAGATACGATATTTCCTAACTTTGTCGTATGGATAATTTAAATGTGAAATAATAGGTGTTTATCAATTATGCTCGCAAGCTGTTGAAAGTGCATAGAAAAGCGAAGGCACCATTTTGTTGTATGTGATCGATGTTGGTCCCCCTTTCTCTCATTGGTCGGTTTTAATGAGTGGTGGACTCGGTTGCGTCACGGTACGGTCCCTTCCTATCACCATCATCATCAACATCATCACACAAGACTGAGGGCCCCCCTCTTGACCAACACCCCTGAAATGGGGGAACTTCCGTATCTCACCCGACTCCGCCTTGACCCAGGGACTTAGGAATAGGTCTCTGGCCGTGTAGTTGCGAAGAGCTAATTTCACACTAATTAAGTGCGATTAAATAACGTTTGATTGTTTTTGTCAGTATATTGTATTTAGTAATTGTTTAATTTTGGTTTAAAGGAATTATAAGTAATGGATGTTTTTGGTCTGTTGCAGTACCTAGAATCGGAGAAGGACTAGGTAATCCGATGATGAAGGAAGAAAAGAGGACTGATTTGCACAACCCGGCGGATTTCCACGTCAGGCTGTTCAACGGGTCTCAGGTGCTGAGCAGTTTAGGACCTTTGGCTTTGCACGCCCCTTTGTTCCAATCGACTCCTCTTCTTCAATGGTCCGCGGAGCAGATGGGCATCAACGTGTCTTCCGCGATGAGCGCCAAGAAGAAAAAAGAGGACGAATCTCCTTCGTCGCCAGCCGCGTCTCCTCCTCAGGATAAAAGCAACTCTAGGGAGAAACTCTTTGTCTGCCGCATCTGTAATCATTCCTTCGGATATAAACACGTGCTGCAAAACCACGAGAGGACTCACACGGGTGAGAAACCGTTCGAATGCCCTCAGTGTCACAAGAGGTTTACTAGAGATCACCACCTCAAGACGCACATGCGGCTTCACACGGGAGAAAAGCCGTACCACTGTCCTCATTGCGAGAGGAATTTCGTGCAAGTAGCCAACCTGAGGCGGCACCTGAGGGTCCACACCGGCGAACGGCCCTACGCCTGTCAAGACTGTTCTTCCAAATTTTCCGACAGCAACCAACTCAAAGCCCACATCCTCATCCACAGGGGTGAGAAGCCTTTCGAATGTCTTCAATGCAGGACGAAATTCAGACGACGCCACCACCTCTATCATCACAAGTGTCACAACCGTCTCCAGGAGGAGGAGCCGGCGGCGAAAAAACGCGAAAGAAAGCCCAAAGAAGTCAGAAGGGTCCTTCGAGAACCGCCCATCTACGTACCTCTCATTCTACCGGAACAGACCGAACCCGAAGACCTATCCATGTCGACCGGACACAAAAACAACAACAACAATAACAACAACAACAACAATAACAACAGCAGCAGTACGACCGGCGATTCAGAAGACGACCTCTCGGATTCTTGGGAAGAAGGATATTTACCACCAATGACGTAGTAAGAGCCTTTCGCCTTTATATTTTTTATTTTTTAAAAATTATAAAATAATATTATAACAAAAAAAACGATTACGGGTACTACCGATTTATTCGGTATAGTCAAAACTAAGTTACTTTATTTTTTAGATTTTATAAGTGAAGATTGTATATAATTTTCTTCTTTTTTTCAACTCCTGTTTTTTGTCGTTTTACTATTAGAAAAGTGGATTTTTGTTTTTGTTGAACGGACAGCCAGGCGTCTTTCTCATTGCGTCTCTTCAAAACTGCGACAATCGTTGATTATGAAATTTTAATGGTCTTAAATTTATGTACTTTTAAAAAAGCTTGATGCTTTCTTTTCTTTTTATTCGTTGTTATCCATTTCTACATGTCTTCTTCAATGCGCAGGATTTTTTTCTATTCTTAAAGAATTAAATTAATTTTAAGTACCTTAATTGTTTGTTGTTCTTCTAATTCCACTAAGAACGTTTTCTCTCAATGCCAAATTAATTTATAAATAACTTTTGAACTATTTTCTTTTTTCCTGTTTTTCTAAATTGTTTGAAAATGTTTTCAAAAATAAATATTTTTTGTTTTTAAATTTACCCTTTGTTTGCCACTTACCTTAAGTGTTTTACGTGTTTTCTCTGCGTCTGCATAACCCCTTCGCTTTTTGTCATTTAAATGGTGTGCTATTTACGCTTCTTTTTTATTTACTTTTTTTTTTGAGAATTTGTCACTCTTGAAGAGTGATTATAAATAATCTGTTCTTGATTCAATCTTTGGAGACTTCGTGGGCTCCAGGGAAATAGAGTCTTACGAGACATTTAGAAATTTCACCAACCCCAAAGAGGAAAGCGCACTGGGAAAAGTCTGGACATTTGCTCATCAAAATAAACCCAAGAAAATCGAGATGTACATATATATTTGATATTGTATACTGAAAATGAAAAAAAAAACCGGCTCAATTTTGGGCATTTGGGATGGAAACTATCTTATAAGCAAATCCCCGATGTTTTTTTCACTTGGACTTGTGATCTTTACCAATCCTGATGTAATAACCACGTTTTTATCACTCATATTTTAAATATGGGCTATTTTCATTCGAAAGGAAGGAAAATTGTAAAACATATGCATGTTAAATGTAAAAAATAATCCATTCAGTCCAAGAATTGAATTTTTTTTTTTGTTTGTTAATACAGAAGTTATATATTTTAACTATAGTGTTCACTTCAGACTTATATTTTTTTAATAAGTAAAGGAAATAGTAAAAATATTTTATCGAGATTTATCGTTTCCAAATTTACACGTCTAAAAAGGGAAAGTTGCTTATAAAAAGTGCATCCTGGGCCATTTGTTTTGACACATTCCATTTTAATTTTATCCCGAGACGTCGAGATGCTGCAAAGTATAAATCAAAACTCTTATTTGAAGCCTGTGATATATTTTTCATATAAAAAAAACCCTGGGAAACCATTGAGCCTCGGATTTTCTCGACACGAAAGAAAGAGAAAACTGAGCTTAAAAATCCTAAGGTGGAAAATAGCCACTTTTTTTTCCTCTTCACTCGCTAACTGTCTATAGTTTGTAATTCATGAAATATTTTTGTATATTAACGTTTAATTTATTTATTTTACAATATTTATATACATTATATATTTGCTAAATTGTATCCTTTTGGGATGAAAACCATGATGCTTCGAAGATTAAGGAAAAAAAGCAAAAATTATGGATTTCCTCGAGGCAACATAAAATTAGTGAATTGTAGCGTTATTTAACGTTATATTGTTTGTACAATTGTTTAACTATAAGTAGACAGCGTATGTTGACTACATTTCAATATAGATAAATATTTGATTGGGGCCATACCTCGGAAATCCTCTTTTATTGTTATATATTTGGGTAAAAAAGTAGACTTTTTTTAATGGTTTGTATTGTCAGTTTTGTTAGATATCGACTATGCTTATAACAGGGTTTCGGAAAAATAAATGTGTATTTTGTGGAATATGTGGACAAATTTTGCAGAGAAAAAAAAATAGTTGATGTAGTAAATTGTTGTATTAAAAAAGTGTGATTTTTTTTAAAATATTACTTTTTCTACAACTGTATTATTTTCCAAATCGTAATTTCTTTACAAAAATTGTTTTTAATTAAAAAAAGCACAGTTATTCTAAATCTACCTCACATGTTCTACTTACGTGGGTTCATTATATATTATGACAATACATAAAATAGTCGGAGAACTGTTGACACTTAAATAGAAGACTGATATGAATTTAGGATGTATTAAACATATTCGTAAGTTAGCTCACTTTGTGTATATTTTTTTATTAATTGGTTGCTGTTCATAAAAGTATTAGACCAAAAAAAAATAATAATGTTGTGCCAATTTGTAATGGATATAAAACTATGAATAAAAAGAATCTTACTGCTCAGATGTTCTATTTTTCCCCGCTTCCGTGTCCTCGCCTGGTGTGCGCTCCGACCATCCCTTTATTTTTTGCCCAAATTCACCCCAAAAGCCGTGTGCGAGTGAGGGGGTGGCCACCCTCCCCTTTTTAGTTCGCCTTTTCATTTTTTCCGGGTTCCTCGCCCTTTCCAACATATGCTCCTTTACCCAGAATCAACCGTTTTTACTAAATACCTTCCTTTCGACTACCTCGGCTCCTCTTTCCTACTTCTCCACTATCACGTCATCTCTCTTAGTAAAAATTATCGCCTGATTCTTTTTTCATATACAATAATGAACGGTAAGTAACAAAATGTTTTATTTAATGCTCTTATTTGTTTGTTATCCCTGTGCCATGACAAAAACGATATATTCTTCAAAAGCTTGTCGAAGGAAATGAGTGTTTTTATTTAAATTAACCATAGCAATTAATAACAAAATTAAAATACTGAAGTCTGGTATCATTTTTGTCGACATACAATTATCAACGATAACCACAAAAGGCGCAATTTATAGACTTCCGAGGACAATGCCCGGTTGATTATGAGGATTCTTCGAGTGAATTGAGTTTTAACGGAACTTATAAGCCAATTGGAAACATGTTCCTCAACGGTTTGAAGTTTTTCTAGAAGACTATGATGTCTGGTCATTAAAAAGCATTTATAGTATTGTTCTTCTCAGCCAACAAAAAACCGAGTGTTGTACAAATATTTGTCGACCTGACAGGATTTTGGCGTGTGTGGATCACTGATTGTAGTCCGACCCAAACGATAAACTGTTCGAAACTAATCATTGACTTCATACAGTTGAATAATTAAACTAGCAACTAGGTCTTAAGAATACACATGATAAATTTCCCTTTTTATTTAAGTTCTGACAAGACTGAAAGTTGAACGGTGAAGAATGTAAAGTTAAAAGAAATAATCAGTCTTATCTTGGATTCTCTATGGAGCAGGGCCCGAGCTAAAATACAAGCGACGATACTTTAACCAAAAATCACAACGTGAAGCGTCAAGGATCAGCAAGAGGATGGAACCTGAGGCTGAAATAAAAAAAAATCGGCTAAAAAAAGGTGGAGAAAGGGATCTTTGTAGTACAAAGGGATTCCTAAGTCACATTCGTCAGAGCTTGGCAAGTTCAAATCTTCGACCTATAACGCCGAAGCGACTCGACTTCAAATCGTTTGCGATAAAATTTATTTTATAGGCTGGTTATAGAGCATGCTTGAACTTGCCTCTGTAGGTTTATGCTTTTTAACTTTAAAATTAATCATTTTTTACGTCAATTAACGCTTTCGTTAAAGTGTTAAAAATCTGGAGATTTTTATTTTATTTTTTAATTAAATTTATTTATTAAAACTGGTCTTATTAGACCATCCATTAATTTTACAATAATATTATAGAATAAATAAATGTTTACATTCTTATAAACCCATTGGTACAATAAGATTTACATTTCACTATTCACTATTCACTTATAACTACACAAGTTCATATGGCTTTGTTCTTTTTAATCTTCTGACCGTGTTTCGGTAATGTAAGAGTTTAGTTGCTTCCACATTCTCGTGCTGGCTGAGGCGAGCCTGGTGTTTGGCGGCAAATCTTTGTATTTGCGCCGTAACTTCAGGGATCTTAAGATCCCTATGTAAGTCCTTATTCCTTATGTACCAAGGTGCATTGACCATGTTACGTAAGATTTTATTTTGGAGTGTTTGTATGATTTTGATATTGCTGTGTTTGGTACAACCCCATAGTTGAATACCNATTGTTTTAGTATTCCTCCAGTGATAAGGTCATATCCTGGAGTCTTTTTAGCAGGTAAATTTTTAATTTCTCGTGCTACTTCTTTAGGTGAAACTAGCTTTATATTTTCATCTTGTGGCGTAGTTGTTACTTCAAGTAAGCTGCCATTGATGATTTCATTTGGTTTGAAGATTTCAGCAAGATAGCTAGCAAACAATTCGGCTTTTTCTCTGCTATCTCTCGCCCAAGTACCATCCTCTTTCTGTAATGGAGGAATTTGGGCGAAAAAATCTGGAAATGGTACGAAATAATAATGAAATTCCTGCACATTTGCAATTTTTTTTATACACTGACAGGCAAAAAATTCCACGTACTTGTAATATAACTTGATTTGTATATATTTTTGTATAATAATCAAAGTTTCACGTTTTTAACGTTTTATAATTGAGTCTTTGTCTAAAAAAGTAAAAACCAATGTAAATTGCTAAGGAAAATGACAAATAAAAAAAGACGGGGAAATAATTAATTTTAATAGTTTTAGATGTTTAATTAACATTTCAATATATCGAAGACGCCTCGGCATACTTTTTACCAGTCTAGAAATGTCTCTTTGCTAGAGGTTAGCCCATTCTTAACGATGAATCCTTTCAAGATCGTGGAGTGTATCAGGAAGTGATGGACGTGCTCTTATTCGTTTTTTTGGGGTTATCCCATAAATGTTCGATGGCGTTCAATTCTGGACAACCGGCTGGCCAGGCTAAGACCCAGATGTCATGCTGTCGAAGGTACGTTTATACTATGCCAGCGACATGTGGACGGGCATTATCGTGCAAGAGAATAGGATTGTCGCTGATTTCATCGAGGATAGCCAGCGCATGATGTTCCAAAATTTCATCCACATAGCGAGTGACCGTCAAAGAACCTCCACGAACAACAACCAAATCTGTACGACTCCCCATTGCAACTCCCGCCTAAACCACCACTTAGCTACGTTGAAAAGGTTGGCACCCGGAAAAATTACAAGCTTCGTACCTTTAATTTCGCCTTCTCCACACTATTTCACGCCCACCTAGAGATCGTAGAGCAAATCTACTCATCTGTAAAAAGTACAACAGACCAATCGTCTAAGACCAATGGCTGTATTCTCGAGTAATTGGGAGCCGTGCAATTCTATGCGTTCTAGTCAATTCTGGTCCTCTTACGAAAAGCCATAAATCCATACTGATTTAATCTTCTTCACGCAGTGTGTTCAGAAATTCGGACATCTCGAACATCCTGAAACTGATGAATCGCTTGAACAACATTAAGGTGACGTTATTCAGATATCGTGAGATGCGGTCGGGTGTGATGTAGGTTTCAGAAAAACATTTTCTTTATCATGCCAACGTTTCGATCTTTATTGAGATCATCTTCAGGGCCTGGGATTTACAAACAATGTTTACATTTAACAATTACATTTAGGATGTGGAAAAGTGAATTTATACAATGCAAAATATATTTTATATTCAAACAAAGTATTTCTAATCACTCAAAGTNCAGAACTTCTTGCATGGTATCCATCTTTTTGAACAGAGCTTCCCGTTGATATTCATACTCTGCACACGTGAAGACAATATGGTCGAAATCTTCTACCGTATCACAAGTGGGACAGTTAGGGGAGGGTCTGAGATTTAACTTATGGAGATACTGACCACAAATACCATGATTCGTTCGTAACCTGGTGATAGTAGAAAAATACTTTTTGCTACCCTCTGTACTATGGATGAACCAGGGCTTATGCCTAAGTATCGGAAACGTAGACCTATAATAATTACCTGTTCGGGCGCAGTCAAAGCTCTCTTGCCATCTATTCCTATTTTTAATTAAAAACTTATTATAAGCATCATTTATAGGTAGCTTTATATCTAGTAAAGTGCCTTCAGTAGTGGCCCGCTTAGCTAGTGCATCAACTATTTTATT